AATCACCACTGGCGGGGAGGGGGTACTCCAGCCCCCCCCCTGGCACGGCAGAGAGCCGTGACAGGATCGAGAGGCGAGCGAATGCCGGTATGTGTTCGCTCACCTCCCGATCTAATGAGCCGACCTGTGACAGTCTCATTGTCACAGGTCGGCTAGAACTATGAGGTGAGTGAAAAGCACTCACCTCATAGTTCTCCTTTTTAAGGGGGACGGTACAGTTACAATACAATTCAAGACAAGATGGTTAGGAGCGCCCTATTCGTAGGAGTTTGCAATCTAAAAGCATAAGCTATAAAGAAAAGTTGTACTGCTTGGCAATATGACCGACATTGAGGAAAAGCAGCAAACAGGTTATCACTATTCAATTATTCCCCAAGGTAGAAACCCATCAGTGCCATTTCCAATCAGTGTTGTTCAGGCTTCACTTATCAACTGTGATAACACAGAAAGCATTTCATTGTATTATCTTTACACAAAAGGCCTGCACTAAAACCCCTTTCTGGTTTGTCTTGCAGAGTTATCTTTCAGAATCCCTGATATCATGTCCATGGGCTCTCAGACATCTCCAGGAGGACCTAATGGGATTCTCAGAAGTCAGTCATTTGCCGGCTTTAGTGGCATCCCAGAAAGAAGATCTCGGTAAGTAATTCTAATGTGCTTGTGCTCCAGGCAGAATATGCACTCTCGTGATGCGTGTGGCTTTCATCCTCCTTTTCTTGAATAAAAAAGATAATTGTGCTTTATTTTCCACCAAGGCGATTTTGAAAGGGCGATTGGTGATATTCTTTTTTTTGTTCCTAATATTAGATATTTTTCTGGAATTGTGTTTTGTGGAAGTTATTGGCCACATATATATAGTTTGCTGAGATTTGTTTTTGTATTAGTAAGCAATCCTATTCTGCTGCTTTTTGTTGGCTTAAAGCTGATCTCCACTTGGATAAATACATTATCTCTGCATTCAATATAAATGATTAAATGGAGTTTTCATAGACCTACTTAAAGTTCTTCTATAATCTGCAGAGCTGACTGGGAGATGAATAGACAGTACTCCATACTGATCAGCACTCTCTTGGTTTGTACACATGATTGCAGGAGAGTAGAGTACAGCCAAAATGACAAATATAGTGCTGCTCCTTCATGGTCCAATAATAGGCCAATGCTGTATTCTTTACCACCAGTGTAGTCTGCAGAGAGTTACAAGACCTGGCATATGCTGTGTAGCTAGAGTGTCTGGCCCACAAAATTTGGCTCAGCAGAATTACAAAACCATGGGCAGGTAGCACAGTATGTATGTGTGTGTGTATATGTATGTGTATATATGTATGTATGTATATATATATATATATACACTATTAGTGCGACTGTGTAGTTGGCTCTTTGCTTCAGCGTTAAATAATGGACCTACCAAATACCTTTTCAAACATCAGTTTTCTGGATCAAAACAAAAATGACTTTTGTAAGGCTTGTATCTTTTGAGTGTTTTTTACACATGCCCGGTGGTTTTGGTGTATGTGTCGGTCATTGACACAAATTGTATGTAGCATGTGGCATTTTCTTCTGTGGAAGCCTCTCATGAGGTACAGGAAGCTCACTTCTTACATGTAACCTATCCCTGCTGCTTGTCGAGAACAAAGCAAAGCTACCAGGTGCACTGTAATATATATGTGTCTCTAAACCTCAGTAAAGGGTAATGGGCTGCTTACACTAAGGGGTGTATTCATAAACAATAGGCAGAACCATTCGCCCTGCGAAACTGCAGTTGTTCTGTGTGAAAATGAATGTTAGTATGTTTTCTTTCCAGGTTGAATGTCCTATCAGGAAAATACCTCATGGTCACTAGATGGAGCTGAGGAGCATAAGGAATAAATACTTGCAGCCCTATCTAGTGGCCATATTGCTGTATTTTCCCGATTATTGCTTTCAACCTGTAAAGAAAATATGCTAATAAGTTTATACCTTCGCATAGAAAGACTGTACATGCAAAGCTACGGGATGAATGATTCTGCAGATTGTTTATAAATACACCCCTTAGTGTTCGCAATTGTTATAAAAAATATTGCAGCTGTGACTATTAGCGTAAGGGTACTTTTTAAGGGAAGGTGAAGTATATTTTCAGTGAGCACAGATTTGGAGTTCTTATTGCAGTGTTTACAATATAGTATTTTAATTTTTATTTCTTACATTTCTATGTAAAAATAAATCGGATTGCTGTAAATAAGCTTGTCAAGGTGTGTTATTTTTTGCTTTTAAGTGTAATTTGTAAATGTGGGAAACTATCTTTTGCTTATGTCTTATGCAGGCTCTGTTTCCTGTTTGCAAGTGCTATGCAGTAAATCTGCTGAATGTCCATTCTCACATTAAGGCATTGAAAACTACACACTCCCTGTGTGGTTGATATCTTATCTCAACAGCTGTTAGGCAGACTTATTGTAGTATCTAATCTACAAATCTCTTAATTTAATTAAATAACCAAAAAAGGAGGAAGCTTGTTAAAGTAAGTCACATAAAAGCTACATTAACAAACACATAAATAATATGAGGTCACTGAAAGTACACTATGGTTTCCCTTTCGTTTTTTTATGGGACTCTCATTTCTCAGTGCTTTCACTCTTCATATTGTCTTAAAAATCAAACTCCAGCCTTAGGACATACAGCATAACATAGATATCTGTGATGAGCACCTTTCGTGTGTCCCCCAAACACTGTATGCAGCTTTGGGTTTCGTTTATTGTTTATATTCTGATTTGAGCTGAAGAATATTCCTATTTGAATGTCGTATAATCACTTCAGCTCTTGCACCTGTATGCAACTTTTACATTTGAGTTGTGGGTCTATTGATTCGGCATTAAAGCCCATTTCCACCTTTTGCAGAGGTATTTTTAAAAAACATATGTCAGCAATGTACGCAGAGTAGACATGAAGTAGGGATTTGCACTTGCTGTATATGAACACATAAACTTGCTTTTTGTTAGCTGTCCTCTTCATCTCCTCACTGCTCCTTTTTTTGAAATGGCCACCTCCTGTGCTCTGCAAGCAGTGGGAACTACAATGTAGGGCATGGGAAACTACAATTCCCACAATGCTATGCTTCCCTTGTGCACAAGCTTCTCTGTGGAAACTGAGCTCTTTCTCTCTGAGCTTTCTCCTCCATTCATTAATATTCATAGTCGAGCCCCCCCACCTCGCCTTTCCCCAGACAGTGCAGAGTGACCTGGAGTTGGTGTGCAGTGATTTTGTTACAATGATTCACAGGGAGGAGGTCAACTGCTTTTATAGACTGTACACAATCAGGCCTCAGTGTCAGATTTAAGTTTCCTGTGAAGGGAATTTTGAATTTGTAGGACTCGGGCCCACTAAAGTCCCATAATTTATTTTTATTTTTTTAAAGCCAGCAATGTGAGTCATGAAAATGTACACACATATATCATCACTGGACCTCTACTGTACATTGCCACAATAAATGCTACTTACAAAGGTGGAAACTTTATTGTTGCCTAAAGTGGACCCCCCATTTGCCTAAAGTCCTAAACTTGTGATATGCATACAGTCCAGAACTGGTTAAATTACTATTTGCTTCTTCTGAAGTAAAGTTCTTTAAGCTTATTGTTTTTGGGTTTTTTTTGTCAGTATTGGGTTCTTGCTGTCTGCCTGTAATGGTCTGCAGAATTCAGTATGTGTTCTGTTTGGCAGAAAAGGAGGTGAATTTTGGAATTGAAACATATTTTTTATTTAGGTGCAACTCTTTCCTTGGGAACGCTTCAGCCCCCAAAAAACCTCAAGCTAAACAAAAGAAGATGCACAACATGGGCCATAAAAATGGCAGTAATTCTAAAGAACCACAACCAGAGCGAGTAGAAGAAATATATGGAGCCTTAAAAAATGGCCTTGAGTAAGTATAGTTATATGTGAAATGTGATGCATTTGTGGTCCAACAGACCATAAAAGACTGGACACAGAATATAGATGGTAGATTACATAGCTTAGATTGCAGCAAATGTTTCCTGCTGTTCTGGCCAATACAGGGTAGCTGTTTTAGCCTTCCATTTGTTTATTTGCTGCTATTCTCAGACCCCTAAAGGATGTAGTTTCCAAAAAAGCCAAACAAATCTAAAATCTGATAATCTGCAAATGCCAACATTTGATTGAAAGCCCAGTTGCAGCGCCATGCCACAGTTTGCACATAGGTTTGGGTAGAAATAATATACATGATGATATAATGTAAAGTAAAGGTGAGGAATAACCATTGTGGCTGTAAATTGGGTAAATCTCTGGCTTGGGTAGACTGTCTGCACAAGGGCAGATATTTCATTAAATTTGATAAGAGATCACTCTTGAGTGTCTGTCTGTGTCTTTTCTGTCAATCCACCAACCCGCCATGATTTTTTTTTCTTTTGACTTGCGAAGCTTTCCTTTGCATGTACAGTAAAATAACTATTTTAATAACTGGTTGCAAATATATTTTTCATTTGCTTGTAGTCCTCCAACTGATGGCAAAGTACTTAGTTACACTCATGTTCTTTACACTGCTTGATTATGACAAGTGATACCTGGACAGATCCCCTGGTCCATGTATATCTATCAGTGAATAACTATATAGTATCCTAGTGGGAAACATACTAATTGTGTATGTCTGAGATTGATGAATGGCTATTTATATAGCTTCCAATAAACCTGGATGATGATTTAATTATAGAATAAAATGCTCTGCAGGGGATGGAAGGCTCCTGTTGCTGTTAATTGCCTCCAAAATTGAACTGCCAATAATAGGCACCAATAAGTTCTTTGTTTTAGATTCTTTGTTTTTACCTTCAATTAATGCTATTTGGTGTTTAATTTCTCTTGGTAGCGAGTACCTGGAAGTTCATCAAACTGAACTAGACAAGCTGACTGCCCAGCTCAAAGACATGAGAAGAAATTCAAGGCTGGTAAGTTGCCAGAATTGGGAGTACTTCCTGGTGTAAACGGGAGTAGACCTCACAGTCTGGACATATTTGAATATTAAACACAATAGCTGTTCAAGGAACCTTTACATAGTTACATAGTATTTGAGGTTGAATAAAGACATTAGTCCAAGTCCAACCTATTAGGATCTCATTCTAGGAGTACCTGTACCCCTGTATATTACGGTCCCTTAAGAAATCGTCCAAAAGTTTCTTGAACAATTCCACATTATTTGCTGAAATCACCGCCTGTGGCAGTGAGTTCCAGACCCTAACTGATCTTACTGTGAAGAACCCCCTTCGGACCTTGTGCTGGAATTTTTTTCCACCAATTTTAGGTGATGGCCTCTAGTTTTTGTAATGGAGTTAATTTTAAACAGTTTATCGCTAATGTTGCTACCACCATTGAACATCTTGTACATGGAAATCATATCCCCCCTTAATCTCCTCACCTCTAATGTGAACATGTTTAAATTTAGTAGCCTTGTCTTGTAGCTCTGGTCCTCCATACCCCTAATTAGTTTGGTTGCCCTCCGCTGGACTTTTTCCAACTCAAGGACATCTTTTCTTAGTACTGGTGACCAGAACTGGACCGCGTACTCAGATGAGGTCGAACCAATGATCTATAAAGTGGCAAAATTATAGACTTGTCCCTGCAATACATCCCCTTTTTAATACAGGACAAGACCCTGCTAGCTTTGTTTACAGCAGCCTGGCACTGCAAACTACCTTTCAGTTTGTGGTCTACAATGACCCCCAAATCCTTCTCCATTTCTGACTTCCCCAGCGGCATACCCATAATTGTATAACCCATTTGTTTATTTTTAATTCCAAAGTGCATTACTTTGCATTTATCGACATTAAACCTCATCTGCCACATTAATGCCCACTCCCCTATTTTATCCAGGTCCTCCTGCAATGTTATGGTGTCTAAGTCCGTTTCTATTACCCTGCCTATTTTGGTGTCATCCGCAAACACGGAAATATCGCTGTTAACACCCTCCCAGATGTCATTAATAAGTTGAACAATATGGGACCCAGCACAGAACCCTGAGGCACACCGCTCATTACACTAGCCCAGTCTGGAAAGCTGCCATTTACAGATAGCCTTCTTGGAATTAGGATGAATAAAACATTTTCCATTTTCTGATTAATACCTACTGAAATTGTAAGGGTTAGGGTAATTGTCTTTAAACTTGCCTACAATTAATGATCTTTTTTTGTTTGTTTGATACAGGGAGTCCTGTATGATCTAGACAAGGTACGTTCCTATTTGTTTAATACCGTTGGATAATTTTTACTCTGAATACAATCTGATTCTTTCCTTTTCCTGAGCTGTAGCAGTAGGGGGTGGCTGCACAGGTCAGGACTGAACAAACTACAGGATTGGTTTCTATTTTTGGAACAGCCTGGTTTATATGCAACATGGCCTGTTTTTATGACATAATCATTTTACTAATATGTATAGTCTTTTATGCAGCTCTTTATAAATCTCTGAATTGACGAGAGGTATTCCCCATCCCCAAGTCCAAATATACATTCTCTCTTGCTGTCTCGCGCTTTCTGACATCTGCCTCCTTGACAGACTGGCTCATAAAGAGAATCACATTCATGCTTTGGAGGGCCATAGTTATGCATATTATCGGCTCTCCTATAGCTGGCTCCTGTCATTCTAGAGAGAACTTGCATACTCATGACAATTTTTTTGTTTTATTTATTCATTCAAAGCTTTGTTGTTTTTTTAAAGTACACTTCTCATTCGAGAAATATGTGGGCTGCCATTAACTTCAAGTAAAAAAAAAACCTGGTTTAAGATTTTGTATATCAATATAAACTCTATTTTTCATGTTAAGTGTCTTTCCAAATGTGTTACCGCTATAGGAAATCGTGTCATAGCTTTAATAAAGGAACAAAACATTGTAAAGAAAATGCTTACTTGCAACACTGACTTCTTTAAAAATTGTGATGCAACAAATCCTTCCCTTTTCTTTAAAACGTAACTTGTGGCTAGATATGGGGAAATATTCTGTGTTGCACTAGTGCCTTTTACCTATATCTAACCTTGTCATAATTTTACTTTGGATACCATCTTTTCTTTTTTGGTCCCTTAATATGTTTTTATAATCGTGAATGGGCCCTTCAAGCAGTTTGCATAACTATAATTTATGAGGCCTCCCCAGCGACCTCTCTCAGTGACACCTGGCAGTGTCAATTGAGACAATCGTGTAATCCATTTTAAAATAAAGTGTGCCAAAATAAAGGAAAGTAGAGCTGCCGGCATAGGGCAATATTCGGGACCAGTGCAATAGATAGAAGTTGCCAGAGAAGAGCAACAGTGCAGGGCATTAACTTTTAAATTTACTCAACAGCTCACCAGCATTATTTAGAATCGATTTTTTTTTTACAAGATCTTAGGACTTGGGTGTAAATTCTAAGCCCTTCCACCACCCTAGCCAGCATGTGCTGAACTTTGTGGTTTAGCAGTCGCGTAAATATGATTTAAATGTTATATTTCTTTTATTTTTATATTACATAACTGTTATTACAGCTATGCACAATTACTCTATAATCTTAATACAAAGTTATTTAAACTGTGGCCTTTTTTTGCATAATTTAAAAACCTTAATTGTCTTAATTGACTCAGTTTTTAGTTGTGGAGACACTCTGTATGCCTAACACAGTCTTCCCAGAGTAATGGTCAAGATAATCAGAAGCTCTGAAGGCAATAAATCTGCTCATAGATGGGTGGAAGCAAAGTAGATCAGTGACTAACCACAGTTCCTGGATCGGGGTTAATGATATAGTACTGGATCTGTGTTATCTTCCCATGCACACTGATTTTCTATGTTTATGTTGCCTCAACAAACTCCCTAGTAGGGTAGTGGGTTTCTGGATAAAACCTATTCATTCAGGGAATTAAAGATCTATCACTCATGTCCTTTAGAATACAAATAGCAAAAATGGGAGAGTCTGAATAGCAAAGACTGTGCTACTGGGGGGAAAGAAACATGAATTAAAGGATGACCATAGGAAGTACATGTAGATTGGGGAATACAATTATAAATATGTAAACCTTAATTTTATACAAAAAAAAAGTATTGCCTAAGTGCAAAAATGTGTCATTTATGCCTTTTTTGTTTCAGTTCAAAATGTTTGGGGAAAAAGTAATGTATAACATGCATGGATTTGAGTTAGATACGTGGGAGGTTTTTATTTTATTACAGTGTGTGTAGCCTAATTGGTTGTATTTATAAAAACATGCTTTTTTTTTTTTTTTTTCTTTCCCCTAGCAAATCAAGACCATTGAGAGGTACATAAGAAGATTGGAGTTTCATATCAGCAAGGTATTTCCAAATTAAAATGCAATTCTGCTAAGACACCTCATTATAATGCACTTGTTGCTGTTTCAAACTGTCCATTTTATATTGATTCTTAAATTACTCAGTTTTACATAGAATTAGATATTCATTCTGGCATTGTAGCAACAAACACTATTTGCATAGTCTTGCCCCTAGGCTGCCTAAATATGAGTGCAGAGCAAAAGGCACTTGATGTAGACCAATGCGTTGCCCAGTACTGTCCGTAATCTTACAGACCTGGCCAGGCACTACCTACCCCCCCTCCACATTTTCAGCCTAGCACCACCCACCCATCTGTGACTAACATATAAGAAGCAGTGCTTTTACACTCCATCATGGGAGCTCACTAGAATGCTAGGTGCATCCCACCTGCTACCACAGTGTAGTGATCAGCAGCTGATGGGGCAGACTCATAGCATTGCCATCACTACCAGTTACTTAACTGAGCAACGCCCACATCAGGCAGCTGGGATTGAAGAGACCCATATACTGCAGTTTAGCATTGCTAATGTGCATCACAAGGAGTGATGTAAAAATGCTGAACAGATTTTCCACTGCCGAGGAGTGGTGCACAGGAGTGAAAATGCAGGAAACACCTCCCTGCCAAGCGAAAAATGTGTTTTAAAGGTAGCTTAGAAATCATATAATACGATGGTGACGGCCTATAGAAAATGTGAGATTTCAAATAGGTGTTAATATTCTTTGATGTTTAGGAACAGAGGGTATCACAGTAAGGCTGAACTGCAGGACGTACCACTGAGTGACAGATAGTGGGGTGACCTACCTGTCTCCATTGTGTTGCTGCACTGCTGGGATGTGCTGTGATGTTCTGCCTGACTTGGCTAATGGGTGGATCTGGTGCACACCTGGTAATGTGGGTTTCTTTATAGAAAAAGAAGAATGATTGGCACCCAGCTACACAGATATTTCCTACAAGTTGGAAAAGCTCTGTGCGTAAAAAGGGGTGCTTATGAAGGAAAACAGTGCTTGTAATCTTTCCCTAGGAAGGTTCTACGTAGCGCATTTGTCACAAATAATGCTTTTAACAATTTCATCACTTGAAAAAATACCAAGCGTTTATGTACTTTTACTGAAGGGGATACGTATGCATAATTAAAATTAGAGGTGCACCGACATGTAAATTTTAAAAACGAAACCAAAACAATAAAAAATTGTCAGGCCGAAACCAATGCCGAAAATGTTTTTATTTGCATTTTTCCAAATTTTTTTAACTTTTTTAATATTTTTAATTCATTTTTTATTTTTTTTTAATTACTTTTAGGGGCCTATGGGAAATATTGGGGGTCTAAACAGACCCCTGATATTTCCCTTTTTTAAAATAGAAAAAGATTGAGAACACAGAGTCCTCAATCTCTTTTTCTGCAGCCCCTGTTATGAAAAGGAATCTCTTGAGTGTTCCTGTTCATTGATAACATGAGGACATGGTATGTTTAGTATAATTACAACTATGAATGAACAGGAGGTGATGTAGATCACTTCTCATTCATTCATAATTGAGGATATAGTTAACATACCATGTCCTCAATTATCTACAAACACTCAGCGATCACTGAGTGTGTGTACCTTGCTCTTCTCTCTAACACGCTGTCACAGGAGGCTGATCGAGCGGTGCAGGGAGGAGAGCCCATCCTCCAGGGGCAGCACGGCCTATCTCCGCCTCCACACCGCTCTGCCGATCTGTGATAGGAGGCTGAGCGGTGTGGGAGGAGACGCCGGCTGCTCACAGCGCTCTCCTCTCGCAGCGCTCGGCAGGCTCTCACACTTTCTCTCTTACCCGCTGGGACACAGAGCAGCGCCCAGCGGGGAGGAAAGAAAGCAGGGATGCGCCGATGTATCGGCAGGAAAATTGCACATTCGGCATTATGCCAAAAGTGCAATTTTCAGCTGATATATTGGTGCATCCCTAATGAAAATACAAGATTTCAAATAACCCTCAACTTCATGAAGGAAAGTCTACTCTTCTCTCAACCTCATGTCTCCTGCAACTTGCTTTTGGTTTTTTAATGTGATGTATGACCTCAGTAACCAATAGCCATTTTCAGGAGGCTGCATATCAACTATCAAATAGCCTTCCTGAAGTCAAGATTTGCATATTGTAGTTCCCTGGGTTTTAGGGCTTTGTACCTTTTCAGCATACCTCCCAACAAATGGGCACACCCCTGCAATGCCTCCAGTTATGCAGACCATATGCCAAAAATGATTGTTTTTTATTTTTCCAGCATTACTTTACTTTTCTTACTGGATTTTTGAAATGGCAAACAAGATAATTAAGATATATGATGAAGGTTTTAATTATGAATAACACCTTTTTTTTTTTAAAGTTAAATAGAACCTTTTCATAGATAACTGTACACCAGGCCAAAAAGAGGGACAACTGAGGAAAGAGGGACAGAGGGATTTTGCTCCAAATGAGGGACTGTTGGGAAGTATGCTTTCAGTCCTGAGGCTCAGTTATAATTTGCAGTCAGTGTATGTGTACTATGAGGGCTAGTTCACACCAAGCGTGTTCCAGGAGCAGAGCAGTTACAGACTGGATCAAAACTGCGTCCAATGTATTCCAATGGTATTTTGGGCTCTAGTTCACACCGCAGTGTTCAGTTCCAGAGCATGTAAAAAACTGCAGCAAGCCCTATTTTACCTGCTCTGGAGCGCATGCAAATGCACTGGAACGCACCTGCTGTCCGGCCGTTGTAATTAAACGGCCGTACAGCGGCTTCTTGAATGCGGGTGGGCGTTTTTAAACGTCCCATCCCGCCACGCTCGTGCTTGCCGCTAGGAGGCGATGGCTGTTTACATACAAGCGTTCGGGCTTCTGTAGAGACGCCCAATAGCTTGTAGTATGCGTGCAGGTGTGCGCCCCCTCCGTTCCAGCCGCTGCTGGCGATCCCGAGCTCCGATGTGCCCGGTGTGAGCCCGGGACCAGCACAGCAGCTCTACGGCCGGAGATCAAACAGAGATCAGTACGCGATCTCAGTTTGATCTCCCCTTCGGAATGCAGGAAGTGATGTGTATTACATCACTTCCTGCATTCAGTGTCACTCTCCAGTACAGAAACCGGAGAGAAGCTCGTGAAGCAGGTGTTTGCTTCATCAGCTTCTCTGGGGGTCCCTAGGTGACATTAGGGGTCTTAAAGACCCCTGATGTCTCCATAAAGAGGACCTGTCACTGAAAATTTGCTTTTAAACTTGTTAGTCCCCTATGTGATAGCAATAAAGTTTAAGTGGAAAAAAAAGGTTTAAAAGAATGTTACAAAATTAAGTCATATAAAGGTAATTACATTTTTTTTTTTTTTAAGTCCCCCGCCCCCCACATACACATGCATAACATGCGTTGAGTGCGCCTAAGTGCAGAAACGACAATTGCATCCATTACGCCGCACATGTTACATATCGCTGCGAACGTCGCAGTGAGAGCAATAATTCTAGGGCCATCAATCACTGATGACACTAAACTGATGAGCAGTAAAAGCTTTTAAAGCGTCGCCTGTGTCCAATTTTGGGTATGGTAGTTTTTGCAAGTTCGCGGGCGCACGCAATTTTAAAGCTTGACAGGTTTGGTGTCTATTTACCCGACGTGACCCCGTCTTTTAGATTTTGTCAAACATGTGGGTAATAATAATTGTTTTATAACATAACGTAGGGAAAACTGTTTTTTTTTTGTTTTTTTTTTGTTTTTTTTAAATTTTCGGTACTTTTTTTTCATTATATAGTAAAAATAAAAACAGCAGTGGTGATTAAATACCTGGCCTGGACAGGAAGGGGGGTATAAACACCCCGGTCAGCAAGTGGTTAAACTAAAAAAAAAAAGTTGTTTTTTTTTTTTGCAAAAACGGCCCTGAATGCAGCAAAACACACTGCACTGCGTGTAGATCTGGTCTGCATTTGGTGTGAACAAGGCCTAATACTTAGATTTTTCCAAAAGGTCTGGTTAAAATTTTGCAACTGAAGCAGGGCAGACCTAGCCCCTGAATGTTCCATTGTTTAATTTTAAGAGGTCTGGATTTAGCTGTGATTTAAATTGGAACAACCCAGTTATGGTAGCTGGCAAGAGGACAACATGGGACATTTATAACTGCCACTCTTAGTGCTAAAGATAATCTGCAGAGATGTTTTGTCTACCAAGTTATTCCTCGCATATGACAAAATCCACAATGTTTCACAAATAATCATATAAATTTGGTGGATTGGATAGGTATACGAGAGATGCATCACATCTGTCAATATAACAGCCATTTTCATTTCAGAGACCTAAAATAACTACAAATAGCATACATAAACTAAAATTAAAGGAACACTTTGAAAACACATCAGATCTCAATGGGGAAAAATATCATGCTGGATATCTACTGCATACTGGACTGGATAATGTGTTAGGAAGGAAAGGATGCCACATCGTTTGATGGAAATTAAAAATGATCAACCCTACAAAGGGCTGTATTCAAAAGCACCCCAAAAATCAAAGTGAACAAATGCAGCAGGCTAGTCCATTGTGCTGAAACTTCATTGCAGCAACTCAAAATGGTACTCATTAGTTTTTATGGCCCCCACCTGATTGTAAGGGATGCCTGACCACGTCTGGGCATGCTCCTAATGAGACAAGGGATGGTGTCCTGGGGTATCGCCTCCCACATCTGGACCAGGGCCTCACTGAGCTCATGAACAGACTGAGGTGCAACCTGGTGGCGCCGGATGGACCGAGACATGATGTCCCAGAGGTTTTCTATTGGATTCAGGTCAGGCGAGCTTGTGGGCCATTCAAGGGTATCAAATACTTCATCCTCAAGGAACTAGATGCATACTCTCGCCACATGAGGCCAGGCATTGTCGTGCACCAGGAGGAACCCAGGACCCACTGCACCAGCATAGGGTCTGACAATGGGTCCAAGGATTTCATCCTGATACCTAATGGCAGTCAGGGTGCCATTGTCTAGCCTGTAGACGTCTGTGCATCCCTCCATGGATATG